ACTTAAAATATGGATTTATCTCAATGGGAGGTTCCCGCGCACCAAGCCCAGTCTGCATAATATGCCGCAAGGGTGAGTCGTATTTTTCATGCGCTTTGTACCTTATTTTGAAGGCACGTTTAAACGTTACCATAGCGACCAGAAAGCGTTAGAAATACAACAGTTTTCATGCAGGTCATATCATATTATTTTGTTGTATTTATCCGCCACATCTGAAAGGTCGGTCCCTGAAAATATTGTCTGTCATTAAACCGGTCCGTGGGGCAAAAAAAGCTTGGTGACCTTTGATCTACACTATCTATTGTCTATCTATTGTGTTCTGGGTCACGAGTGAGATCAAGCCGATCTCGTGTGACTTTGCGTGAGAGTGGGGAAAAGACTCTGAGTGATGGCCAGTCAAGCAGAGAGTACGTGATAGACAACTATTTTCCGTCACATTCACACCTGTGGGCAATTGAGAGCCTTAAATTAACTTTAATCCAAACCGTTGGCACTGTAGCTGCAATTGCTCAAGGGCATCTTGGTGGTGCTTTAGAAGTCCTGGTCTTTGTTTTCAACTTCTACTAAAACACTTTGTTTTGGGGGTTTTACATGTGAAGCAAACTTTTATTCTTAGTGCGTAATGAGCTGTAAACCTCCGTGGTTGTCTGCCTTTAGGACTGCTGGCTGCAGGTCCCTAACCGACTTATGAAAAAGTAATGAATGTGAGAATAATTTGGCTGCTTAACGGTTTTTCCACTCAACTTGGCACCTTGTGCAGGGCAGAAAGCTCATTGCAGACACTGATGTAATTTCTCACATTCAATCTGCTGGAGGCGTAATGCACAAACTGTTTCAGCAGATCTGAGACTCAAGATTGATTTCTTGATTTATTTTGACTTCAGTCACGTTGTGATAAATTGACTGTCGGTGCCGGACAGCAGGCGCTTGAGTTTTTTTGCGCCTGTAAATAGCAGCATTTTTCACAGCGCCGTTTTGTTCGGCGGAGATGTCGGCGCTGTCTGACAATCTGCGTTGGTGCGGCTGGATGGATGGATTGTGGAGCAGAGGATAAGATAAGATAAGAAAACCTTTGTCTCACAATGGAGAAATTTCCAATTTACGGCAGCAAAATTATGAAAGGGAGAAAGTAGAAGACAAAAAGTATGAGGTCAGTCACCAGCACACTGACTTCCTTTCTCCTGAGCCGAGTGAAGTTAACCGCCCGGCAAACTGACTTCATGTTGTTCTTCCTTGGACCACAAACTGGTTGAGCTTTTTCCAATCGACTGCGCTTTCTGCTGGTTGCGGCCAACTACTTCTCTTAATTTTGCCTCACTTGAACTATTCCGTATTTGTTTTCAAGATGAATGAAAGATAATGACAAACCCATGTGTATGTTACTCCGGTCGTTTGGTCGGAATTTGCTCGCACTGTGTCATGTGACATTCTGTGCATGCTTGTGCTAATGATGCAGCGCAGTGGAAAGCAGTCAGAATAGCATAACATGAAAGATTACAGCTCATTACTTATAAGTTCAGACGGTTGGCCTCGCTGTTCTCTCTGGCTAACGTTGCTAAATGAGCCTTACACAGATTGTGTGCTGGCAGGTGATCACACTCAGCAGGAAGGGAGCATATGGGTGTTAGTGGGCACAAAGGCCGGGTCAGTCACAAGTGATAACAACCAACAAATAGATGGACATGAACTCAAAAAGCACTGCCCACACTCAAGTCAAATAGGAACGTCATTGCTTGTTGTTGTTTTTTTGTCTTGATTAATCTCACTAAGCCCTTTCTTGTAGCCATCAAGCGGAAGCCCCCCCCCCCCCCCCCCCCCCCCCATACAAAATCTGAGCCATTGTTGCACCATACCACCGCATGGAGAGCAGGGTCCCGATATCAGTGTGATCAAGTGCTTGAATACCTTTCCAGCCGGAATGCCTCCATGTCAGATAAAGGATCTTGATAGAATAGAACAGGAAGTGTAGGAAGTCGAAGTATGGGAGAGTCTCGTCTCCTGGCTCGTTGCTATTGTAAAACAATATTTGTGTTCCTACAAAAAGGTGGTGGAAGTCTACTCGAGAGCACATTCGCATCCGCTGCATTCTACGTGGCAGCAAGGCATATCTCGTCCAAAGAAACTATTCACTCTGACTCTGCACGAAGAATGTGTTACCTGCATAGTTTATCCATCCATCCATCCATTTTCTGATCCGCTTTATCCTCACAAGGGTCGCGGGGCGTGCTGTAGTCTATCCCAGCCGTCTTCGGGTTGCAGGCGGGGGACACCCTGAACCGGTTGCCAGCCAATCGCAGGGCACACAGAGACGAAAAACCTTCCGTACTCACAATCACACCGAGAGACAATGTTGAGTGTTCAATCAGCCTGCCATGCATGTTTTTGGAATGTGGGAGGAAACCGGAGTACCCGGAGAAAACCCACGCAGGCACGGGGAGAACATGCAAACTCCACACAGGAAGCCCGGAGCCAGGATCAAACTGTGAGGTCGACGCGCTGGTTCACCGGGCTGCCTGCATAGTTTAGTAGTTTCCATAATATAAGCTCAAATGCTGACGCCCTCACCTCTGTCCAAATAACACCAGAAGCAAAATGAAAAAGAGCAAGTGTGTCGTGACTTTTGCAGCACCATGTATATCGATTCAAACCTTTGACATTTTAAATCTCCCTGACGGCACACCGTCATATAAGCGGCGATTGCCTTTTGGACAAATCCTTCACTTGTGAGCAGCAGGGGGCACTGTCCTTCCTTCCCTGCACTCGTCCCCTTAGAGAAGAGTGGCAACGCCGCAAACTCGAGAATCGGAGAGGTGCATTTTGGAACATTGGCACTCGCTGCTTGAGGGTTTTGCTGTGGTTCAGTGGAACTCCCTGTCTGTCTTGGAGCCGGGCCACATCATCTTACAATGTAAGCAAGTTGCAATATGATCCCCAGAGCCGCAGACACAGAATGTCACTTTCTTTCCATCTCCGACCTAAGTGGGTGTGCGTTGGTTCCTGTGTGTGTGCGTACGTGCATGTGCGTATGTGTATGGGCACTGTCAGCCCTTTTAGGCAGTCTGCAGTAATCAGCGTCGTGATGGCCAGAGGAGGATTAAAGTAGGCAGGAAGTAAAATCTCCTCTGTGTTAATTCACTCTGCCCTCTGTCGTCACTGTCAGTTCTTTACGTTAACATTTGCACACCTTCTGTTTGCTATTAGCGCAGCACATTTGGTGGGGAGCTATTAAGATAGAGATCAAGTTGCCTTTGGTCTTTCCTCCCATGGGTTAAAAATGAATTCTGCTGCTGAGCGTGCCCCTTTGCTCTTAAACAAACAAGATAAATTCACAATTAGAGCTTTCCCCACCACTTCTGCTGAATTTGTGCCGAAAGGACTGTCGGCCATGTATTGTGTTCTCTCGAATCCATCCTGTCAGTTGGTTCTTCTAGTCTTGCATCAAGAGTACCTTCTCATCCCACCAAGATTCGTTGGACCAGTTTGAACAACTTCTGCACAAAAATCTGAAACAATTTTGTTTTTGTTCAGCAATTCGTCATCGATTTCTGTTCCCGTTGCTCCTGGGATGATCATTTTTGTCTTCAAGCTGTGTCCGTCTAATTCGTGATCATATCCCTCCCAGATCAACAGTAGTGATTATTGTTGTGGGCTGGTAAATGGGTCAGTCGACTGTGTTTCCTCCAGAGCTGAAAACTGCTTTCCTCACAGACGTTCAATAACATGTCATATCGTTTCGAAATGAGTTTTGGCAGCTTTTGGTCGCATTTCCCATGTCACAGAAGGGAGCATTAGATGCGGGCTTCCCCCTTGAGAGCTGCCATAAATTGTCGTCAATCAGCGTGCCTGCAGCAAAAGCCCACTGCCACCATCCAACAGTAACAAGGCACCGCAGTCAACCTCGCAACTGGTTTATTTTTGCGTTGGACTTCTTGTCCCGCCATTGTTTCTCAGGGCCCATGTGGGATTCCCATCATAACATTCCTATACGTTCTACGTCTTTTCTCTCTATTGGGACTACAGGAACTGATGGAGTTGGTCCTCAGATTGCAGCCAAAACAGTTTCCGTTCAACTCTGAATGCTTGCTACACAATTTTGGTGCGTGACTGTGAGATTTCTGTCATTACCTCTGAAAGTGCTTCGGTGGAGAGGGACTAGTCCAATCTAGCATAGCATCAAAGTGGAGAGTGAGAAAGTTCATGCCTGCATATGAGCTCATTATTCGCAGCGCCACTGATTTTCAAAGGCACGTGTCCAAGGACGCAACTAACTCTTGCTTGAAACATTGGCACCAGCATCTTGCTGAGCCTGAATCTGCTGCGTATTAAAGTCAGTGACTTTTTGTCGAATTCACTTCCGTCAAGTCAAACGCAATCAGTATTCAGGAGGGCCGTGAGGAGTGCACAAGTCAATTCTAAGTGCCATGACTGACATGGGCCATAGAAAATAGTCCTGAAAGTATCCGTTTCGTATTTGTGGAAGTTTTGACTTCATTGCTGTATGTTTACATGAAAAAAAATGGAAGGTGGAATAGAGAGTGCCAAACTTGTTAGTCAGACAGTGTGGCATACATTTCCATGTAAATTCGCGCTTCTTCAATTCGTAATGTTGTAGACAGTTATGTTGGCATATAAATGCTTTGTAGGCAATTCACCCACTTCATTAGTGAGTTCATTAGCATCCCTGTAATGTATTATTGAATTTAAGAAAAAGAAAAATCATGCAATGTGTGTAAAATAGCTCATTTGAAGAGTATTGTGTGTGTGCGTGTGTCTGAGAGAGAGATCTTCTCTCTATCAATCTAGTGGACTTCGTAGTGCATGTTCCCTCTGCCCCAGTGCCTGTAACTCATCAATGTGTGTGATCGGTATCCTGCGGGTGCTGAGAGGGTCGATGCCGATGTAGGACGCAGCATCCGGCGGTGGCGATGTATAAAAACCGGGGGCTCATGCCTCCCTTTCCTGTTTGCTGCCGGAGAGGCCTTGAGGAGAAGATTGTGGAGAGAAGTAGAACCTTCAATACCCTGCATGAAAAAGCGCCCGCTTCTGCAGAGGGTGAGCAGGATTGCGTGATCTTGTTTGTTGTGACCTTACTTTGATCATTCCATTTGTGGGGCTTTCATGAGTTAGCAGAAGCCTCCTTTAATCGGCTGGTATCTGTGAAACTTCATGGCATGAAATTGAAATGTACGCACAGTAACTAATACTGTAACCTTGTTTACTTTTGAGCTTCAAATGATTTTAGAGGCAAACATGTCCCGTGTCTGTGCGTATGTAGGTCACACAACCGAGCGTGTTGGACATTGATCTCTCAGCTTTGGTCGTAGCACAGCAAAGCAGGTCACTCGTTTTCCAAAATAGAGAGCTCCGTGCCCCAAAGGTGTGCTTGCCTGCATCATGACAAAACCATGGAGAGATTTTATTTACTGACGTGATGGGATGATTGCAGAAACAAAAGAGAAGATATAGGAAGGATGCTATGAATAATTATGTGTTCCAAGAGTGTAAGGTGGTGTATGTTTGGGGCCTTCTATTTTCCTTCATCTTTCAATGACTCAAATAGAAACACGCACCCTCCTCCATCAACACACCGTTTGCAGTGAATGGTATTCTGGATTTATTTTATTTCATACTTTTTTTTCCCCCCCACCCCACCGTCCTTATTGTTCTTCTCCGTTTTGACGTTACTCTGTTCACTGAGCGTCTGGTTTTCCCACCATGTGGTCTTGACCCCTTCCGTTCCGTATCAAACCATTCCACATCCATATTTGCTTCTGGTTGGAGATTGCCGAATTCACTGTCGCCCCACTTGCAATGGAGGACAGTGACCATGAAATTCCATCTTCATCAGACGAGCGGGACTCCTGTCCCGTCTCCCCAAAGCCAAGCGGGAACCATGATGGCGACCAGGTACGGCTCACTTCGTGATTCGTCAAGTCACGGCGCCAATCTACCGTACGGGTTGACTGATTGGCCACAAGGTCCGTCGCGCCGATACCAAACTCCTTTTTTCATGAATGAGCAAGGACCATTGTAAAAAGGAAACGGGACGGTGAAGCGTTTGTACTTTTGGAGTTCTTTGAAAAGCTCCTCGCCAAAAGTAACACTTGCCATCTACCACCTCCTTCTCCCTCTGCGTGTCTCCTGTTCCTCCTCATTCAACCCTGACACGTCTGTAGCATTCCAGCCACTCCGAAGACTCCGAGCTGGAGAACATTATGCAAGAGCCCTGCCCTCATGTCCAACATGAGCATGACCACAGTCCGCAGCAGCGCCATCTTGGCCAAGAGGCTCACGATGCAGACAGGGCGGCCGAGGGTCAAGACCTTCCCCACACCCCGTCCTCTTTGCGCCCCCCTGTGTTGGGTACGGCCCAGTCGGATTGGGGTTCCGAACCCGCTTTACCTCCTCCGAGTGTGGACTTTGACTTGCCCTTCCCCGTCAGTCCCTCCAGGCCCAAAAGTCCATGGGCCCGTTTTGACCCGTACAGCAATAACGAGGTAACATAAAAAGGGGGCACCAAGGAGAAGATTTCTGTCTGTATGTTTGTGTGCGTGAGGTTTAGAAGCCTGGTTGTTCTCGTGGAGCAGGAAGTGACTGTTGCTTTGTCGCCGCTGGTGCCACTGCGTTTGTGTTGACTGATTCACATAGCGCACATTGTCACAAGAGGTCCACATTATCTCCTTCGACAACCCCCCTCGAGTGTCATTGTTTCCATTTTCTTTCTTGATGATTTTCAGGATCAGGACAAGGAATACGTGGGTTTTGCAACACTTCCCAACCAGGTGCACCGCAAGTCAGTCAAGAAAGGATTTGACTTCACCCTAATGGTGGCGGGTAAGGTCTCGTCTCAACGAATCCGCATCAATACTTGACCCAAAAAGCCAGCCCAAATCTTGATGTTTGACCTCGCTCGTCTTCTCTTTTATGGACGTCTGCTTCTAGGCGAGTCTGGCCTCGGAAAATCCACCCTGGTCAACAGTCTCTTCCTCACAGATCTTTACAAAGACAGAAGGCTGCTCAATGCCGAAGGTGACCGCAGCACTGCCTCGATTCTTCTTCTTCCGGTGTTGGATTTGTTCACGTTTGGTGTCCTCACCACATTCACCTCAAATGTCCTTGACCAATGTTGAGGTGTTAAAAATACTTTTAAGTGCACCGTTTTATCACCACTACTCTCTAATGCAGCGTTTCCCCCGCACAGTAGCAGCTTAATTCAAATAATTAGGCTGCATTGACCACCTTCGGTTGGAATGAAACCTCTCGCAAACAGAGACATTTTGTACCGTTTTATTTTTTGTTCACTTTCTCGCCATGTGTCCTCAAATGTCATCATTGTGCAGTCACAGTCAACCCGATCGGCTAATGAGTGACCCTCAAGTCACCTAATAGGGTGTCAACTTGGAATGGGCTTGGAGGAATGGAACGCCGTTGACCTTGTTTTGCCGGTCGCGACTCGCGCCGTGCCAAACCAAGTTCATTGGCGTTGGGTGGAAAATCCACTCGTGAATTGGAATGTGTGGGGAAATCTCGAGGGATTCGTTGGGGTTTGTTACCAGCGCTTTTCTAGCTATTGTTTGTGCTCGTGTTTGTGTCGCACCTTTAGAACGAATCATTCAAACAGTCGAAATCACCAAGCACACTGTTGACATTGAGGAAAAAGGAGTCAAACTGAAGCTGACTATTGTGGACACCCCGGGCTTTGGCGATGCGGTTAACAACACAGAATGGTACCGTATACACACACAGACACACACACACACACACACACACACACACACACCGTTTCTGCCGTCGTTTTCTTGCGTCCTCACAAAGCGCTTGTCTCCTCTGCAGCTGGAAGCCAGTGGCCGACTACATCGACCAGCAGTTCGAGCAATACTTCAGGGATGAAAGCGGCCTCAACCGCAAAAACATCCAGGACAACCGCGTGCACTGCTGCCTCTACTTCATCTCCCCCTTCGGCCACGGGTACGATAATGCTGCCGCGTCCTTCGAGGGATGACGTGCCTTTTATCTTACCCCCCTGAGAAAGGATCATAGTTGACCCACTTGCTACAGCCTGTGTTTACAGCCTCTCTGTGGCTGGCAGTCGGGACAAATGAAGCCTTAGCGTCGGTATTCGCTGCACTTCCGCTTTCGTTTGCCCTTAAATAACGAATCGAACAAGCAGTTCGTAGCCCATCTTCAGGACCACCTGCTGTTCTTACACTCTAATCACAACATAATGTTTACGGAGTACATTTTAAGACCACTGCAAGGCAGAAAGTCATGCTTCAGGGGGGCCCTTCGAAGTCACCGCGGTTGGCGAAATTGCTCCCCCTGCTGACACCTGGTGGTCATTGCACAAGTCCAACAGTGACTCATTCTCCTTCCTCATCCATTCGCACACTGTGAAGTCTACATTCAGACTCATTTGGTGTTTTGCAGCCTTCGGCCACTGGACGTGGAATTTATGAAAGCCCTGCACGAGAAGGTTAATATTGTTCCAGTGTTGGCCAAAGCAGACACGCTCACCCCGAGTGAGATCAAGAAGAAGAAATTAAAGGTCGGGCTACTTCCTGTCTCGTGCCTGTTGATGTGCTAGTTGCACAGCTGATATTTGGGGGGGTCTAACTCGTGGCCAAAATACTGATGTTGTATTAACTTTGTGTAGATCAGAGAAGAGATCGAGCTATGTGCTATTAAGATATACCAATTCCCCGACTGCGACTCTGACGAAGATGACGACTTCAAGCAGCAGGATTACGAGCTGAAGGTGAGAGTGAGGCCTTTTGTGCAGCCACAAGGTTTTTTGGTGTTTGGTTTTTTTTTCGCCAAGAGCATTGGGATGATGATCCACACCATATGGTGTTAGGGGGGTGCTACGTTGGTGATGACTGAAATAAAACAAGAGCGTCACCTTGTTGATTTAGCAGTTGTGAGTCATCCAACCTTCACCTCCGCCTCCTTTTTTGTGCATCCAAATATTTCTGTGAGGCGGGTCTTTGCAGCAATATCTCAAAAATGTGTAGCGACGAGGGAGGGAGAGAGAAAGATCTTATGTTGTGTGGACAATAGTATTGGGACGCATGTTTGTAATAATTACTTTAGTCAGAGATTGGTTACAACCGGGCCAGGTCTCCCAACCCTTTTTGTTCATACACTGTGTAGTATATTATATCCTCTTCCCTGGTTGGTCTTCCAGAACCAGAACCAGCTAACATTGAAATCCTTGTACTTATTCCCGCAATAAGGAAAGCATTCCATTTGCCGTCATCGGCAGCAACATCGTGGTGGAAGCCAAAGGGAAGAGGGTGCGAGGTCGTCTGTACCCTTGGGGCATCGTCGAAGGTAAGGAAGGACCCCCTCGCGCAAAGTCCACACACCAAATGTGACGCACGGGCCTTGAACCTGTCGCCGGTCTTCACGCCGGTCCTTCCGCAGTTGAAAACTCGGCGCACTGTGACTTTGTGAAGTTGCGCAACATGCTGGTTCGAACGCACATGCAGGACCTGAAGGACGTGACCCGAGAGACCCACTATGAAAACTACAGAGCCCACTGCATCCAGAGCATGACCCGCATGGTTGTGAAAGAGCGGAACCGCAAGTATGACGCATAGACGTGTTGAACAACAACACAAACCGCCCACCCCCACCCCCCACTTTTTTTTTTTTTTTTTTTTTTAACATGATGCTCCGACAATATTAAATGTTTTGATCAAGTACGGTCAAAGCATTGGGAGAGATGATTCGTGCAATCAGTCTTAATCAAGCTCAGGAAGTAGAATTGACTTGAATTGGCACTTTGGAGTTGCTGATAAACACAAATATTCATTTTGGAGGTTCATCCTGAGATTTCACCCCAAAGCCCAATCTCCCAAACGTTTTGCGAGTTGTGTACAAAGCAATGATGTCAACACAAATTGAAGTGGTTGTTTCATACAGTGGTGTTTCACGCGCATATGTGTGTGTGTGTCCCCAGTAAGCTAACCAGGGAGAGCGGCACCGACTTCCCCATCCCCGCAGTGGGCGACATGACCGACAGTCAGACGGAAAAGCTGATCCGGGAAAAAGACGAGGAGGTACGGCCGGGCGACCCCCAAGCGGAGTCGGCCCACCTTCTCGGGCAGCCGCCGGCCGATCACGAGCAGCGGTCACAACAAAAGTTTGAGACGGAGTGCGGAAGCCACGCCGGGGCCCGCTCGCATCTGGAGGACGAGGCCCTTTAAGGGTCCTCGGCTCGCACGTTTACCCACAAGCCACTGCGTCTCCCGCTTTCGAGTCAAGCTCCGCATTTGAAATAAGATGCTGTCGTCGATGCTTGGCCGCTTCTTTCACTTCTCATGACTTTTTTGGCTTTTTTTTTCCTCAATGTCTCTACTCCAATTGGTCACATGATCACCATTTATGTTGTCACTCTCCACATTGTTCCAAGTCCTTATCTCGCCGTTTAACTTCTGGCTGCTCATTTGCTCGTTAGCACTGTACCGTCATTGGTCATTCCCCATCGGCTGTGTTCTTCCTGTTAGTCGTCATTCTTTTTCTTACTCTCTCTCTGTTCTTTGGGTCACATTCTCACTGTTGACATTCTTCTTCAGAATTCTCGAGAGTTTGTGCGTCACATCCTCCTTTTCTGAGTTGTTTCTCGCCACGCCATTCAAACTCCTGTTGTGCGCGTTTCCACTCATCACGTTGCACTACAATGTTGATTTGCCAAAGATGAATTCGAGTGACACTTTGTTCTTTCACGGGCTCATTCAGTCTTCTTAACATAAGCACTTAAGCCTGAAGAAAGTAGAAGCCTTTACACCTGTTCTTGCTCTTGCTGTCAAGAAATGGGAGACAAGAGTATAACATCACGTTGGGTAAAAAAAGTCTGTCTCTCACACAGTTCTCCGAATAAGAATTTTAAAAAATAATCAGGATGATAATATTTTTAAATACATAAATGGCCCACCAAACTGTATACTTGCCTCACAAAAGTCCGCCAGTTCAATGGGAAATGCTGTAAGCGAAAATAGAAATGAGCGTTGGCGTAGTAACATTTCAGACAACTGCGACTGTAGCAACTCATACAAACATTCTCTGCGCTGAGGGAACGTCTATAACTAGAATTTATAGCTGAGGAACTTCTCTGCCTTTTCTTCGATTTTTGCTGCTCGACATCCAGTAGACCTCACGCCAAAGGCGCACGACTTGAAATTGGGGGGCTTGCCTGTCAAGTACTCCCATTAAAAAGCGGTCTCTTAAGAATCCGCCGCGAAGGGTGTGAACGATGAGCCGCCATCTAGCCGGGGGGGGTTGACTGCATACTGAACGCTGTCATTGATTACAGAACAGCTCGTGGTGCATCGACCTCCCTTTTATCCCACGTGATCCTATTTATTCCTCGAAATAATAAAGAGACTATTGTTTCAATGTTGTTGTTTTTTTTTTTTTAATTTATTGTTTGTTCGTTGTTGGTGGATACGATCTATCAAGCAGTATGTCAAAATATTGGGTGCTCACCCCCTCAAGCTGCATTTTGCAACATTAAGTGTGGCGGCGCATTGGGTCACATGACCTAACGTGCGGCCGCGTTATCGACTGAATGTGGCCTTCCGTGCCCAACCAGAGGGTGTAACGGCGTGTTGTGATTTGTCCCATCAGTTGCGGCGCATGCAAGAGATGCTGCAGAGGATTCAGGGCCAAATACACACCAAGAAGGACGCCTACTGACACGCCGTGTTGCCCGCTTGGACTTTCGCCTCCCATCCCGTCCCAACGACCTCATCAACCTCATCGGTGCCCATCGTGGCACTCGGCAGGATGAGGTAAGAAAGCGCCACTCTGTAAATGGGATTGGAAAAAACAACTGAGACGCTTGTTCCAAAATGTCAATGAATCCATTTCTCACCTAAACCTGTCAAACGTTTGTTTGTTTTTTTGAAGGGCATGTGTTTTTTTTTTTCATTTTCCTGGTGCAGGTTTTGTTTTTTTACTATAGGTCAATGTGACCTTATCAAATCTGTCATGTCTTTTTTTTTTTTTTTTTTTATACAACACCCCAAAAATTGTCCTACGGATTGTCTGCGGAAAACTATTTGGCAAAACTGTTCATCATGCTTTGTATGAGTTGAATGAATGAAGATTGTTTTTTGGATTTCAAGTTGAAAGTGCCACAGTGTTGTGTTCGTGGCAACACATGCAGGTGCCGCTCAATCAATTACAGTATTGGAGACATATTTATTTAGTTCAAAAAATGGTAGTGAAAACTTTGCAGAAGGACAATTCCTACCTGATTTCTACATGATAGAAATACATTTGAGTTTTGTTTTTTTTTCTAAACTAAACAACTTCCTAAATTTTGTCCTCCCTATATTGGAATTGAGATGCATCTGTGTATCGGAATGTTACATATCATAAACGCAACACTGCCTGTCATGCTATTTTTTTTTTTTTTTTTTAAATTCCGATGGATAGAAAAGCATGTTTTTGTATGGCCTCAAAAGTTCAGAGATCCATGAAAACCATTCAACCAGTTAAGTCGCGAAAGATATGAACAGACAAATGTTACTGTAACAACTTGCCAAACTTGACGCTGTTTTGTTTGCCTTTCACAACATATGTGAACCATGTTATTTATGGGCATTGAAGAAATGTATAAAACAATCTGCTTAATTATGATGACAGGAATGGAGTTTTTGGGTGGAGTTTTTTTTTTTTTTTTTTGGTACCACTTGAAGTGAAATCTTGTGTTACGACAAATAGTAATGTTGCCATTTTAGTCCATTATCTTCCTGGACTATTAAAGAGAAACATTATATTATTGAGTTAACATTTTGAATGTTTTACTAAACATTGTGATTATGAACCTCATTTGTTATTCATCACAACTTCCTGTTTTTTTTTTCCTTTTATCTCTGGCAACCTTTACTTTTGTGTCTTTATATTTTATTTTTTTTTAATGCTTCTATGATATTTATGTTATATCTAAATTGCAAATGGAATGGCTGGGAAAAAATATGCAAAAAAAAGAATAAATCCAGTGCTAATAAAAGTATAATTTCATGTGTGTTCGTCCCCCGTGTGTATATTTTCATGTGACTGCATTTGCTTGTGATACTTGACGTATGAATGGGACATCGTGATGCAATAAGAGGTGCACAAATAACCAGTTTCAATTGTGAACTGTTAATGTGGCCAAACACGACAGCAAATTTGAATGTAAGATAAAGCTCTCGACATTTGCAAACAAAAAACATTTTATTAAGTCATGTTTGATATAGTTCTTATTCCATATAATTTTCCCAGCCTTTTTCATGATAGTGACATCTAATTCAGCCCAGCTTTTACAGGCTATTTACAAGTACAACTTTCACCATAGGGAAAACACATGTAAAATTATTTATGTCTTGCAGTGTCACCACCGACCACTTTTAGACATTTTCTATCGGGCTCCAACATGATTTCAAACCAATTTGCTGCACGATTTTAGCACAGTCTAAACCACAACAACCAACGCTTTATCTTTGCACTTCCAATCACTTGGAATTGAACAGAATGTGACAAATCAAAGTACGCATAGAATATTTTGCACGCTAGCCAAATGTGATGTTTCGTACTCTCCCTCAAGGGAATTACATGGTCCCAATAAAACAAAAACTTACAACATAAGAAGTTACAAGCAACAACAACAAAAAAAAGTTTATATACACGAAAGTTAACATAATGTACATAATTTTTTTTTAATTAAAAATAAAAAAAACAACAATAAAGGGGGTCAGGGCTGATCCATATCTGGCCAAACTACAATTTGGAGAGCGTAGCATGTATTAAGTGCCATGTGAAACACGGCTTGGATTCTTGTTGAGTTTCACAGTGCTAGGAACAACAAATTAATCCAAAAGGTGGTCCAGGCAGGTTATTCCATCTTTTTTTTTTTTTCGCCAAATGACATATTTACAATTCAAATGTCTTGCTTCATGACTGAAAGTAGACAGCCAATCTAATAATCACATCCAATTGGAAGGTTGAACCGGTCTCTGCCTTCTTTTATTGTTGAGTGCACCAGTGTGTCATGAGATCAGCAGACGTTCTGCTACAAATTATCCGAATTTCACATAATCTTTCGGAAAATGATTTAACTACAAATGTCTTGAACTATCCGTTGCAGTGACAAGCAGGAGATTTAAATGCTCTTCCGCTTGATGAGTGAAGGTACATAATGACCTTGCGTATGCTGTTTTGGTGACATATTTGTTTGGTGGTGTGCAGCGAGATTTGTTGCTCAAATGTAAAATATCTCAATCAAGGTTGGGGAAACAATAGTTTAGTGTAAACATCTGACAGGACAATGAGCCAACACAAAAGCCGGAGAGCAATGAGTGTGCTAAATTAAGGTACCTAACCTTAGGGGACAGCAGGGGGCGGTATTGCCACAGATGCAAGTCCCTGAGGACTGCAGCGCTGCACCAGAGCGAATCCGGTCCACAATTTGAATGTGGCAGAAGAGCACGAGTTTGCAGGCGGAGGGGCGGGTCTTCAGTTGACTCCCATTCTCAACGTGCTGCTTATGGCGGGTCGAGTCACGTCGAGCCCTGCCATTGGTCCAAACCAGCAGGCCCTTCCCGTCCCTGACTCGAAGCAGCAGACGTGACAAGCGAGGGTGCCTATGTCGACACCTGGATCCACTGAGCCCTCCTCGAGGTCGGCGCGATGTTCACGTACAGAGGGGTGTCGCTGAGCCGCTTCAGGCGAGTTTCAGAGTGCTGATGGGAAAGGAGGGCATGGTCACCATGGTGACAGGGTTGAGGACAGTCTGGCCCACAAGCTGCGAGTGGTGGGCTACTACGGTCTGTTTGCCCACGATGGCGGCACCAGGTGGGGGTGGGTTAGCGGCCCCGTTGACGTGGCCCAACGTGTGCGCAATGTGGCTGATCAACGCGGGCTGTGTGACAGCCACTGGCTGAGGGTACAGGGTAGGGAGGTGGGGGCTCAGGTGGGCCACCGGGTGCACGGTGATGTGGCCGATGGGCGGCTGCCCCGGCGCCAGCTGGGCGATGTGTTTTGGCCCACCTGCCTGGATGACATGGTTGACCGCTTGGATGACGGACGGGTGCGAGGCAGATGCGTGGGCGATGACGGTTGGGTGTAAGGTGGGCTGGCCAGCGGCGGGGGCCGCGCCGGGGACAGGGGGCTTGGCCGGCGGCTGCAGCGCCGACACCTGATGGGCGATGAAGGAGGGTGTGGGGGCGGTCACAGTCAAGGAGAGGGCGGCGGTGACGGGCGTCAGGTGGAGGTTCTCGCTTTTGTGGGCCTGAGGGGCAGCGGGCGACTCGCTTGGAGGTCGCGCCATCACTTCTTCGTCCTCATCGTCCTCGTCCATCACCTCTTCGCCTTCTGCAAGCACACACAAACGTCACTTGGTCAACATACATCGGAGTCAACCTACATACACCGAATAGAGAAACACTAAACAATATTTAGTAATCTGAGAATGACTGCATGTTTTAGGGCTGAATCATTTGGAAAAATCGTCTCACAGGAATTTGTTTTCCTCAATTTTTACCATTTTATATGCAATTTTTTTTCAAGGTCCACTTCCCATGTATTTTTATTTTTTTTTAACACTCATCAGCAATAAATTCATCTGTATGACAAGAAACAATATCAGATTTATTTAACATCTTTTGGTTTTGTTTACTCTTCGGCTAAAATAAGGGCATGTGAAACATGAATTACATAATGTAAATTCCTTTCCATTACGTTCTCGTCCACGTCAGATGTCTAGCGGGCAACTAGGTATTTTTTCGCCATACCGTAACTACAACTACTTCCTGTTTTCATTTCTAAGAATCATGGGAAATGTGTTGTCCTCCTAACCTGATGCTGCAGTCAGACCGCACGCAATATGAGCATTTCTGGCTACGAGATGTTACTTACAATGGGGGGGGACAATATTATTGCAGTCTGTGTGACCAAAAGGTAAACTGAAAGTTAAATTCCTTACTATTTACTTTCACATTCATGTTCGCATTCTCATCATCATCAAATTGCAAGCAGGCGTCCATGTTGTCATTATACACGAACTAGAACTATTTCCTGCTGCCTTGTCTAAGAATCATGGGGAATATCGTCCTACTAGCCTAATGCTGCAGTCAGACCCAACGCAAGATGAGCGTTTCCGGCATGTTTCCAATGTTACAATGTGACACCAACGCGAGGTCAATGACACAGCCAACTTTCAAGCGCTGGCGTGGCAGAGCAAAACTAGGTTGCACAGTGGTGAGTGTGTTTTTTTTTTTACTACAGCAATTGAACTGTCAACCAGGACAGCATTTCAAAGTCAAGTCATAATAACCGCCGGTCACCAGACTGACGAGTGAGGTTCAAACTTATTTTTCATCGATTGGAGAATTCCCTCCTCTTTTCTGTTTGAAGCAACCCCTGCAGAGTTGCACGGTGAACTTTTAAAAGCAAGTGAGACACGCGGCGCTATTCCATGTATCGGGTCAGGCCCGAACCTAGCATAGTAGTGCTAAAGAAATCAAATCAACATATGGGACAATTACAATAATCTATTCTATTTAAACCCGGTGCGTCTTATGTAGGAAACGTTTTTAAAATAGACCCGTTCATTGATATTGTGCCTAATAATGTGGTGCTACTAGAGTACGGAGTATGCAGAGTACTTAAGACTAACTTTGTCAAAATAAACAATAATTGGTTACTGAACAGTAATGGAGGGGGGGGGGGCAATGGTTTTGTAATACACCTTAATGCGAAATAATTTTATCCGATTCATAAATGCAATAGTCTATAAATATCGGATAGTGACAGCCCTCGATAGTATATCAATATCTGCACCACAGTCATGATAATATGATCATTGATTTCGCGCGAACTTCATTGAATCACCTCCCCCAAGATGTGTGAAGACATCAAAATGGCGCCGCAAGCCCGCATGAGTGCCTCAAGAGTAGCAATTGTTTTCAGTCCCGTAGCAACGACTGCTCCCAAGCGCTATTTTGTGCCCACCTGAGGCAGTGGAAGTGGAAGCTTGATCCTCCTCGGGCTGTGCCGTCTGCCGCAGCACGCGCTCAATCTCCACCACGTCCATCCACTGGCTCAGCTCGTTCTTCAGCTCCTCCAAGTGCTGCTGCGTGGCGATCTTCTCGCGGGCCAGGCGCTCCATGTCGTGCTCGTACTCCTTCTCTTTGCGCTTCAGCGTCTGCCGGGCACACGAACTCATGAGGGCCCGCGGAACGATACACTTACTGCCTTTTGTAAATTAAAAAAACAAAAAAATCAAACATCCACCCATTATCCATAAATTGCTTATCCTCACGAGAGATCATTTGTTTGCAGAAGTGTGCACACCCTCTTAATAACAGAACACGTGGATGTGTTCAGACTCAACCAATCCCCATCTGTGTTTGCTTTCTAACAGAAGCCTGAAGGGTTTGTGCTAACACTGACGGCTGTTTGGAACTGTCGGCAAGTCCTCCTACTTTGACGGAAGGCCCCGGTTCCATTTCAAGAAAAACAAAACATGACGTGTCGGGATGGCGTTCTTTTTGAGATGAGTAGTGTTGTGGATGGATCAAACATCTTTTGCTATGATGGCCAAAAGGTTCAACTTTCAACGAAGAAACTGGGTGTAGACTTTATAGCCACTTTATGTACTTTGAAGCATTCGATTTTAGATTCTTTGATGTTTTTAAACTTGTGTGCTGCTGTAAAAAAAAAGGGATTTCACAGTTATGGGACTAATAAAAGTGTTTTTTCCTTGAATGTCACTTGGCACACAACCAATCCTGAACTGTTAAGTGAAATAAAACGTGTGTGCGTGTGACGTGTCACGATATGATTGTCAGTAAGCAGACAACTTCTGGTTCCATGGTAACTGTGGGTGTGAACCCTGCCAACCAAGTATTGTTTCCTATTTACTAAAGAAATAAGCCACTAAAACAACTGTGATAAAATAAAGTGTCGGGAAACCAATGCAAAAGGAATTTGTTTGATCCTGCGAGTAATTAGTTTTGTTACGAAGCACAGTTTTGGTTGGAGGGCACGTTAGGCAAGATGAGGCGGGGCGGGAGAAGGAAAGTAGGCGGTGCTTCCAGGCACTGACTCGATGACCCAATTTCCCCCCCGAGCTGCGGGTCAGTTGACACACAACTCAACACTCTTCCTAAATCAAACATCAAAACTGGCTGAGAAAAGAGCAGTAACTGTGTGACACGCGTGAATATTGTACAGTTATTTCGGAAAATCTACATCCACGTGCACGGGGAGGGAGCACGCAGCGTAAAGTCGAGTCCAATGAGCATTTCCTGATCGGGCAGACTTCCCGCTTGTGCTCACTCGACACGGCTGTGTGCGCACGTCAGCCTTAAGTGCATGCGCCCCGTCCCCGCGTGTTTGTGTGTTTAAAGGGCACGTTTCGTCAGACAGCGCACGCACAACACATGACTACATGAGAAAAAGGCGGGCACCTGTCCCTTATCTTCATCCTGGATTAGTGGACTCCCGCCCCGTGGAAGAAACATTGCAGCCCAACCACAAAGCTTCAAAGACCTTCGAATCACAACTATAAATTCAACGATAGTTTACTTCATGAAAGACAAGGTGGCATAAAAATGCTGAGCTCCAGTCAGTCAAGGAAAAAATTTCCTTCACGTTTTGGAAAAGCATCCACACTTACAATCACCAAACTTGAGTCATAATAATAAACATGTTAAATCAACGCCGCTCTAACAGTGCCATTCAAAACTGAGCATTAGTTCATATAAAGGATTTTATTTTTTTTTAAACAGTGCTTTGATATATATGATTAGAACACGCAAAACGGATTTTCAGCTGGTCTTCCTCACCAAGTCCAAAAACATGCACGATTGGTTCATTTCAGTCTAAATTGTCCATACGTGCGGACGTCGGTGTGAATGGTTGCTTGCCTCACTCTGTGACTGACTGTCACAATATGTGACGGTAGCCCCGCCTCTGGCCCCAAGTCAGAGGCTCCAGCTCATCCATGACACTTATGAGGACAAGTGCACTCACTAATATGAGGACATGATGTGATGTGAGAAGCCTTCCTTTCCAACCAGCACCCAATGACAGACAGCATCCCTTGTCATCACTGGTTGTCAAGGAAACAGCTCGAAGGTTCCCTCGGCAACCGAGACCATTCACAGCATTGAATACGCGAGGTATTTCTCAACTGACGTCAAGTCCATCACAATATACAATGAGGGAAAGACTTAGAACAATGACTGCCAGGTCGACGCACCTTCTCGCGTCTCCTCAAACAAACTATGAGTCAAGGAGCTCGAAAAAGAGGGCAAGGTGCTGCGCAAACACAGTGACCCACTGAGCTGCTGTGCGCACACGTGGCGGAGACAACAAACGCGCCCGTCCACGTAGAAACAAACCCTTGAAACCTGAGAAGCTGCTCCACGGCAGATGGCTCCCACATGGCGTCCCGCTAATCGTGTCGATGCGTTGCTGGAACATCGGGTTCCAAGCACCTTTAGTTTTACTAACACATGACTGACACCACCTCTGCCCACCCTGACCTCCCCCTCCTCACTTCCCACAAACACAATTCCTGAGAGATAAGACCTAACTTCAACTTTGTTTACGTGGTAATCTAGATCAGGGCAGGAATCGGCTGCGCCGAGCGTGTGGGTGTGTGTCAGGCAAACACTGGTCAAGCTGGCTGTCACAAGGGAGGAGTGGAAAAAAACAAAAGTGCAGCGCACATGGCCTGACAGAGGGGGGGAGGGGCGGGCAGTGTACACCCTGACTCACTTGTGCAGCAGTTGAGGACAAGCTGTACTGCACCGTCTTAAAGGGCCAGCAGCGTGCGAGCGAGGCCACGTTGCGAACACGCCGCTAAAGCCGGATCTCGGGCCGGTGGTCTTGTGACTGCGTGCTGAGCCTCATCTGGCCGTGCCTTCCAGCTGGAAGGGGGCACTTCATGTGGTGCCCGACAGCTCACAAGTAAAGCTTTGTGTGGAGAAAATCACCTTTTTGTTCTTGGACAATGCAAATAAAAAAGTGGACACACCCGTATTTAAATGTTTCCAAAATTATTTTTGTGACCCCCGAACCCCCCTTCCTCCTCTGCCGCCAAAACAATGTGTTCACGTAAAAATGAAAAAAAAAAAATATATATATATATATATA